GACTTGTGTTCAAATCCTAGCTCTGCTCTTGACCAGTCATGGAACATGGGGCTTTTCTCTACCTCTTCAAGGCTGTTTCCTCATCTTTAAAACAACCTATTGTGGTGGGTATTTGATAGTCTTGTTGGCTGCCTGAATCATTCCTCACTTAAGTCCACCCACTCGTAAATGGCATTAGTGCCCTGATGAAAGAAGTTCAAGGGAGTTTATTTGCCCCTTCCACCACGTGAAGATACAGCATGAAGGCACCATTTACGAACGAGAAAGTGAGCCCTCACCAGACACTGAATCTGTCAGCACCTTGATCTTGGACTTCCCAGCCTCCAGAACTGTGAGTTATAAATTTCCGCTGTTTCTAAGCTACCTAGTCTGTAGCAATTTGTTGTGGCAGCCCAAGGGGATTAAGATACAGATGATGTAAAACTTAAGGCATGTTTTCAAATAACTGCAATACATCATGCATCAACACTCATTTTTCCCTAGGAAAACTACAGTACAGTGAATTTAGTGACTAACAGGTTAGCTTCCTGATAACTAGGACCTAATGGCCAGGTGTCCCAATTGGAGGCTCATCACAAAAGGTGGCAAATGACCATAGGCAACACCAAGTAGCCACTCCCTCAGTGCAGCGTAGGCCCCCACAATGTTTACATGGGCAGCCCCAAGGGTTCAGGGCTTTCTGTTCTGGTTTCCATCTATCTTACTATATAAGAGGGAATATATTTTTACCTCTCTCAAATTCGGATGCTGTTAAAATAGTATGTATTTTGCCGCTGAAGTTATTTTTAAAAAACCAGGTATGTTATCTTATTCTGTGTGTGGTATGGATATTATGCAATTTGATATATTTTGACTATAAACATGGATACTTAAACAGAATGTAAATGAGATCGGTCATCTATGATCACCTAAGATCAAGTGAAACTCTTTGCTTACCTTGCAGTCTCTGCGCACTGATTAGAAGGCAGGCAAATTTCATGAGCTGTGCAAAGAAGGAAAGAAACTTGTAGCGGATGCTGTGGATGCCCCACGCAGATGCCACCAGCATGTGATATTTCTCTGCATGTGACCTGACTTCCAACAGCCAGCATCCATGACTCTTTGTCGGAAGGCTTCCTGATCACTGGACCCTCTCTGCCCACACACATGGCAGGCCAGAAATGCTAGAGAATGAACACTTCCCTGCAGCAACCCTCAACCAGTGACTCCCTTTGCTCCAGTGAAAAAACTCTGAGCTGTATATTCTACACTGCCTCCCAGAGTTCCCCAGAGGCATTGAGCTCCAATTGCCTACAGTGGTAACTTGTTCAATAATACACTCTCTATTGGCTTCCCTCCTTCCCTGTCTTACTTCTCCAGTCCCTGAATGGTGATCCCTGAATGACTGTTTCTCAATCAAGCCACTTGCACTTGAATCCTTGTCTCAGCCACTGCTTCTGGAGGATGCAAACTAAGACAGGGATGTGTGAAATTCAAATATCAAAAGGTCATTGGAAAAGCAAAGAAATAAATCAACAAGGACCTCCAGTAGTTGTGGACAATGCTACCCTGATTCCTCACTTCCTGGTACCTAGTCCTTTTACTTCTGACATCCCTCTCACCAGATTTTTACCATCTTCCACCAACATGACATTTTGGACCTTGGCCATGGAGGTTTGTCGTTCTCAAGTCCATTTATTAATTAGCCCAGCTTACCCAAGTTGAAGTACAAAGGAAACTCACTAATTGAGCAGCTGTTGGGAGCTGTCCCCTAGTTTCATCCAGGGCCAGATGTCTTGGCTCTGTGTGACATGCAAACTTCAGTCTCCTCAGAGGACCAGGCTTTCAGAGGACAGAGTCAGTCTACCCAAGAACCAAGAGGAAGAAGGCCCAGGCAGATGCACAGGGACAGTGGGAAAAGCAGCCTGCACAGGACACAACTTTCCCGGTGAGGGAGCCATGCCTAAGACTAACTTGCAGGTCAGGAAGTTGCTTATTTAAAAAGAAAAGAACATTTCTGAGCAAACGTCTCACTGCAAACCAAGTTCACTGTAGTTGCTGTTTAATGATCAGCACCTCCACCTCTTTAATAAAACCCTGGTTCAAAACAGGGCAGGGAGCCAGGCATGGCAGCTCACACTTGTAATCCTAGCACTTTGGGAGGCCGAGGTGGGTGGATCACCTGAGGTCAGGAGTTCGAGACCAGCCTAGCCAACATGACAAAATCCCGTCTCTACTAAAAATACAAAAATTAGCCGGGCATGGTGGCATGCACCTATAATCCCAGCTACTTGGGAGACTGAGACAGGAGAATCACTTGAACCCAGGAGGCAGTTGCAGTGAGCCGAGAGCCCACCACTGCACTCCAGCCTGGGCAACAAAGCAAGACTCCACCTCAAAATATAAAATAAAATACCAAGCAGGGCAGGGGCACACACCTCTATGCACTACATGCTCCTTTAGGCTAGATCATCTGTATTCTCTTAAATATGTTTGGTTAAAAAATGTGTGCATATATTTGTGTATCAGATGACATGTATAAAATAATCAGAAGTCCCTCTAACTCAGCTGACTCTAAACCATGAAGCAGAAGAGTTTACTAGAAGGATATGGGGTGGTTCACAGAATGTGAGAGGGAAGCTCCAGGCCCGGCTTCTAAGAGTAAGACCCCAAAGTTGACCAGTATGCTGGTGTGTTTGAAGCTGCCTCTGCCACCGTTAAGCACTACAGTACATAACCACTGCACGCTACAGCAGGAAACAGCACTGCTTCCTGTCCAGGATTTGACCCTTGCCAGCCCCTCTGCCAAATAGACGAACGCCCTGTCCCTCCCACCCAAGGTGATTTAACAGAGTCTTTGTCATGGCGCCTGTGCTGCAAAGGAGGCTGGAAGGAGTAACAGCATTCTCAGATCCTGAGAGGGGTCTCTGGCCCCCATCCCAATTGAAAGGCCAAAAGTCTGCCTCAGCCCCAACTCTCCTCCCCAGATGTAAACCACTATGAGACGGTGGATGTGTCCTCCAGCCCTTTTACCACCACAGTTTTGGAAAACGGTTTTGTAGAATGAAGTTATTACTATAAATACATTCTGCGCAATTTTCTACCTTAATATAAGTCATGGATCACTTTCCATGTTCATACATACAGATCTTAACTTGTTCTTTTTGACTACCGCAAAAGATTCGCAGAATCCAATGCCATCATTTAGCCAGTCCCTCTGTTGATGATATAATAAGCTGTGGCCACTATCATTACTACAACAAACCACACAGGGAAAGCATCCCAGGGTATGTTTGCATGTGCTGCTGTTTGCACACGCATGCTTCATTTTTGTAAGGTGGGTCCTAGAAATGGGCAGCACCGGTCTACAGCCATAGGTCCTTCCGTGGTCTTTATCCTCATTGCATATAGAGAATGTTTGGATTTCGAACTGGAACTTCGCCACTTTGGGGACATTTCAT